TTCCCTTTTTCCATATACAGCATGCTTTCTTACAAACAAATCCTTCTGTAAGGGATACGAACATCCTTAAAAGCTTAATAACTAAGTTGCAGTTCTTGGAAATAAGGATTAGGGATTTATTCTCTCTTGCCAGGATTTATTTTTCCAATATCAAAAAAGTTGTTTTTATATTAAAAAAAGTTTGGGCCAAATAAAACTTAAATCCAAACCTTAAACCAACATGTTTTCCGTAAATAAGACACATAACGTTATTTAATTGTGGAACCTATTATCCAGTTCCTAAGAGACTAATATATACATGTTCTTAAGTCACATCCCTTATTAAAAATGTATGTTTAGTTTTCCGAGTTAAAAAAATTAATCGCTAGCTTTAAATATAACTTTTATCTTACCGAACATAATGCTAAGAAATTTCTTAATAAAAATCTTTTATTAAATATTAGTTGAGACAACATCCATTTTTAATAAAATTTAATAACAAACACTACATATTTTGAACATTTTATTTTTTAGTATACCTTTTTTAATTTCTTTGCAAGATATAATATCTAAATTAAATTTAACATGGCAAGGGCGGTTTTATAATTAATAAAAGTAAATTGGAATACCTTTTTGCCCTTAACAGGACATATACATATATCCTAATAACCCCAGAAGGGTTAAAAAAAATGGTTGCTATAATGTTGTTGTTTTATTTTATTGCATATAAATACCAAAACATTTACAAAAATATACACGTACCTTGAGCGTTTGTGAGAAGTGATCCATATTAATAGTGGCAAAAAATTGGAATAGTGAAACTTTTCAGACGATCTGAGCGCGTCTAGAACGCAGGACACGTGGTAACACGATCATGTTTCCGCTGAAAGCTCAACGGTGCTTTCAGGAGAAAGGTTCGCGTTGAACTGGCGCTGTGGACTCGTTTTAAACGCCAAGGGTGGGGGTGACGGGGGGTGATGCCTCGGAAAACGGACCTAGTAGTCACTAGTGACACGTATCATGGCAAAGTACCCCCTTTGTTGGTATTGTTTTCTATACATGATATATTTTATAGAAGGACAAACGAAAGTTTTATCCTCAAAAAATCGCCATGTTTTCTAGATTTTCTTTAGGTCCTTGAAACACCACTTTATAGTCTTTTTTAAGTTTTAATGACGCAGTAATGAAATTTAACTTTTTAAGATAAGAACAAACGTTTTTTAGAAGTTTTAGCAATAGGGGATGAGTCAAGATTCTTAATATAATATTAGTCAAAAAAATTACGATAAATTTCATTATAATTCCACTTTTGTTAAAAATAATAAACACTTTTTACACTTTAAGACAATAACGATAATATTGAAAATAGAACACTGTTTTAAACTGTAATGGTAAACTGTTTTAGGACATTTTTAAGACGTGGTTTTAGACAGTTATGAAACATTTTTAATACAGTTTTTCAAACGTTTTGGTATATTTTCTGACCGATCTATGACATTTTAAAATTATATTTTACATACCTTTAAAACATTTTTAAAACACCAGTTATAACATAATAAAATACAGTTTTGGATGATTTTTAAAACATTTTAAAAACAATGGACAATTATGGGACATTTTTAAAATATTTTCATACAGTTATTATGCAATTTTTTTCTTAGAAAAAATTGTTTGTATTTGAGGCACGTCCGAATTAAATGATTCATTTTTTCAAAAATAAAAATTTTTCACACGCGTTCAAAAATAATGGGGATTAAAATCGCACACACGTTAAAACTGGACTTAAAATGTTGGTAATATTTAAATACAAACAAACAGCATTTGATTATATAATATTATAGTTGTCAAAAATGGCGAATGCGCCGGGATTAAAAACATGTGTGTTGAGAAATAAAATTTTAGAATGTAATTTTGATGTTAATGAACAATTTAATTTATATTAGGTAATTGGAATTGTGGATTAAAGCTAATAGACTTCTTGGGCGTATAATTTAATGAAGTATGTACCACTTGAAGGGAGTATTAACAAACATAAAGGTTATGGGTCCGACAGAGATAGATAAGAAAGCTTTCTCCTGGAATTTCTATTATCTGTGACCGAATATAAGCTAGCAACTCTTATTTCACTCCAAGACGTCTACTTGGACACATCATCTTATCAAAAAACAATTTTGCTCAACCGAAAATTCCTTATTTTTAATAATATCTATACTGTGTTAACTTTTGTCTGATATTTATTACCAATAATTCATTTCAAGAAAATGATCAAAACTATTTTACAAATTAAAATACAAAATATATTTATATAAAATCCATTACGTTTGAGTGCCTTCTTTATTTAAAACAGAAGAAGCTCAACTTTCATTGTTAAAAATGGATTTTTTATTCTAAAATGCTAAAATTAAAAATGACCGTTGTCGAGTTTAAAATATGTAATTCAGATTTTGCAGCTGTATAGAGAAACTTTTAATAACAAATGCATGTATTTTAATTTTTCGTCAACCTATTTATTATTTTTGCGAATTGCTTTTGTGTCCTTTTGTCCTGTTGCTTCATTTATTTACGTATATCCTAATTTTTAATATTTATCACCTTACTTGAAATTAGAATTATTATAAACTTGTCCTTTTCATTGTAGTCAAAAATTATAAAAAAAATTATATATATATATATATATATATATATATATTTAAAAGTTAAATCAATACAAACGGTTAAAAATTTAATTTATTTTATGCAAAAGTGAAGCATGATGAATAAATAAAAATGCCTTACATTTTTTGTTTGTGATGCAATTACGTCTTGTCTTTATAAATTATGGAACAAAATAATAATTTACAATTACAATAAGTTTGCCTCATATCCATTGAACACCGGCAAGATCGAATTAAAATTAAATATTAAGCACACATTCTAAAATCGATTGTGTCTACACACAAAAAATTGATTTCATATTAAATATGTACGTTTCTGTTTGGTACAAAAAAATTTATATCAAGTACATTCAACCCAAGAGAAACTCGTAATTTTTTGCAGTTTTAAAAACATTTTAATTATATAGTTATTTAGAATATCTATAGAACATCTTGGATGTACACAATTGTTAATAATTTTGACATATTATGTCAATAATTGAGAAACGTTCATTAAGTTTCTGTGGCCGATGTATTCGATTCAAATGGGCAAACCTTTTGAAGTTGATAGCTAGACTTAAATTAATCTCCTATACAAACGTCTTATTACGGATTTGAGTAAATATATAAATGTTTAACTTTACTGCTAACTGGCTGCATATAAATTTTTTGATAATGGCTACATCCATTATATGGACGTTATAGTGTCTGGACATAAATTGTTTTGTGTAAATAACAGAGATTTTAAAGTTACGTAAAGTTTCGTCAAGTACCAGAGTGAAGTTAACTAATCTGAGGAAACTATTAATAGAAATTTGGTTGGAAACAGAAATTGTACCCATCTTAACCTAACCTGGCATTTAAATGAGTCTATTCATCTGTGATACCAGTAAATTATTTTAATCGTTATATAATAATTCCCGATTTCAAGTTAATTTTAACATTTTCACATTACCTAGATTCCAGTTTTGGAGCATTTTTAAAACAGCTTTTTAAACAGTGTAGGGTCATTTTTAAACGGTTTTCTTAAATTTTTAAAATGATTTTTAGACAGTATTTGGATTTTTTTAACAGTTATTAGAACAGTGGGACATTTAAAAAACATTTTTGAGCGTTTTAGGACATTTTTAAAACAGTTTTAAACATTTTAATATACTGTTTTGAGCAGTTATGGTATATTTTTAACACAGTTTTAAGAGAGTTTTTAATACTAAATGTTTTTAGACAGTTATTGAGAAGTTTTATAACAGTTATGGGACACATTTTTAAAACAGTATTTGTGATTCTAAGGGATTTTTAGACAATAACAGTTTTTTAAACAGTATTGGGTCATTTTTAAACGGGTTTCTCAATTTTTTAAAATGGTTTAAGGACAATTGTGGAACAGTTTTCGAAATTTTTTAACAGCTTTTAGAACAGTGGGACATTTTTTGAATGTTTTTAGACAGTTTGGAGACATTTAAAAACATTTTGGGACATTTTTAAAACAGTTTTAAACATTTGAAAACACTGTTTTAAGCAGTTATGGTATATTTTTAACACAGTTTTAAGAGAGTTTTGAAACATTTTTAAAACTATGTTTTTAGACAGTTATTGGGAAGTTTTATAACAGTTATGGGGCATATCAGTGATACCACTAAATTATTTTAATCGTTATAGAATAATTCCCGATTTCAAGTTAATTTTAACATTTTCACTTACCTAGATTCTAAATTTGCGTTAAAATTTACAGGATAAATTGCAATTTTATTTTTGTTTATAAGGTAATATTTTTAAAACAGTTTTTGTAATTTTAAGGGATTTTTAGACAGTAACAGCTTTTTAAACAGTATTGGGTCATTTTTAAACGGGTTTCTCAAATTTTTAAAATGGTATAAGGACAATTGTGGAACAGTTTTCGAAATTTTTTAACAGCTATTAGAACAGTGGGACATTTTTTGAATTTTTTAGACAGTTTGGAGACATTTAAAAACATTTTGGGACATTTTTAAAACAGTTTTAAACATTTGAAAACACTGTTTTGAGCAGTTATGGTATATTTTTAACACAGTTTTAAGAGAGTTTTGAAACATTTTTAAAACTATGTTTTTAGACATTTATTGGGAAGTTTTATAACAGTTATGGGACATTTTTATACAGCTTTGGGACAAGGACATTCTTGAAACATTTTAAAGAGTCATCAATATCATATAAATTATAATTATCAAGAAATAAAAATATTGTATAAATATAAATATTATTAAAATAATGTCAATAAATTATATTGACAATTCATTTATTATTTATAATAAATAACGGAGTGTCGTTTAATTTAATTCACAAAGTATCAATATTTGCTTTTAAATAATTTAAAAACAACATTTTTCTGTGTAAATTGTTTGCACTTACCCAAAGTTTCTTCGGTTTCTGGAAACGTTTTCATTTTGACCTCCTTAGGTTTTTCTGAAATAAAAAAGGACAACAATGATAATTTTTAATCGACTTCAAGTGACTTTCGTTAAAACGATCTCAATGCAAAGTAAAATAGAACGTTTGATATTGAAGTGCTCTCTCGTGTTTTCACGAAATTTTATTCCAAAAAGTTTTGTAAAGAAATCTTTCAACTTTAATGCAGTTCATATGTTTGTGTGGTAGTATTAATTTAACTAGTTTTTTTGGAGTACGCTTGAGGAACAGTTAATTGCGAATGTAGTCGTTTATAAGGGATGCAAAAAATCGCATTTTCTACACCAGCAGTGATCATCTAGCTTGTATTAACTCTGATCACGTATTGGCGCAATTATACTTGTCTGTCGTGCCATCCTTCAAGTGAGCGTGCCTTCCATGCACTAAAGACTCCCAATACTGACTACTGGACATTGCCAGTTTTCCAGTTTTCCGCCACGCTGTCCTGCTCTGACTTGTTCGCCTTTATGTCTATTCTAGCACTCCCCATGTTACTTACACACCAATTCCACAATCAATTTTATCCTTCTTTAACCGAATATTGTATTTTAAAAGCCTTTTTATCCCGCTACGGTTCGCAAATAAAATTACTTCACCAAGCGAATTTATCACATGTTTAGTTTCACGCAAACCAATTTATTCAAATATAATAATATTTTTAATTAAGGACTTTTCGTCCTTTCCTGTATTTAAAACATTTTTGACAGTTTTAGTTTTAGTTTTGAGGAGGACACAACACGTTATTCTCGAAAAGTAACATACGACATTTTGCAGTATAAACAACAAAATATAAAAAATCTATTTTTGAAAGAAGATTTTTCGTGTTGCCCTGTGTTTGGCTAATACAGACATGGCGTGCGAAAACGTAATATATGCCTCAGGAAAATGTATAATATGGCGAAATCTACTTATCTAATTGCCCTGGCCAGCAAACACAAGTAAATATATGGAATATTGTTGAAATTAACATATGCTACAACGGTTTTTGATTACATTGTAAAGTGTAAAAAGGCATGCCATAAGTTAGTGGAGTGTAAGTAAGCATTGAATTGAATGACATACTATTTTACAACTTTATTTTATGCTCATATCTAGCCATTTATACTTGGCTGAATATTTTGCCGAGATAAAAAATATTAATTACATTTAAAGAATATAAATCATCCAGTTAAATTTTTATGTTTCATCGGTTGGAACAAAAAATATGATTATGATTGAGTTTTAATAGCACTAGCCCTTAAATTTTTTCTACGTAAAGATATAAATTAGCAGAAGGCTAAATATTTCATGTTAACGATTTTTGAATTTGACAAGTATAATTGCCTAAGCTTTCTGAGTGTCGGTTATATTGACGACAGTTTAATCATCGCTGGATATTTTGTATAATGTATCCATTAGCGAAACGCTCAACATACCCCTGATAATTTGAAATAAACGATAAATTTATATTTCAGAACCATAATATTTTATTACTTCAAGTTACACCATAGAGCATATGTTTGTTGGTATTGTATTATTGTTAAGTGCGAATGCCTGAATAAAATAAATGTTACACTATGTACGGTGAATAGCAAGATATAATCTAAAAATAAGAAACTACCAATTAAAATTTTATTTGAGTGTTTGAATGCGGTTATTTCTCTTCTACATTTTCACAATGGTACATCTCAATGGGGAGTTGATGTCAACAGAATCATGTTATATCCTCATCGCAGTTTTCCATTTTTTCTTTAGTCCCTTATAGAAAAGATTATTAATCAATCCCTTAATTAAATCGTTATACATATTTTTGTAGAAAATTGAATGCTCTACAAAGAAGAAAAAATGTGTTTAAGCGATTACTACTATATATATATATATACAGGGTGAATCGGAAGGATCGCACCGAACTCTAGGACTGCATTATACACAAAAATAATTAAAAAAACTCAAATGTTCTTATTCGATTCTCATTTGTTTTGAAGTTATAGCGTAATTAAAAAATAAATAAAATGAAACGGTAACATTTGTTTAATAATTATGACTTTTATAAGGTGTTCAAAAATACCCCTATTGAGTTCTAAACATGTTCTGCTACGTCTGCAAACAGCGCCTGTTGCTTGTCCTATTAACTCTTGTTTTTCTTTAAGAACTGCGCCAGTATTAATTATTCGTTAAATTAGTGCCTCTCGATTATTCACTTTAACTTTGTAAACTTCTGTTTTAAACCAACCCCATAAACAAAAATCTAGTGGTGTTAGATCTGAACTTCTTGGAGGCCAACTAATTGGACCTCCGCGACCAATACAACGCTCTGGAAACATTTCATCCAAGTGTTGCTTGACCTCACGAGCGAAATGTGCAGGAGCTCCATCATGCTGATAGTATATTCGCCTTCTTACGTTTAAAGGGACATTCTCTAGTAATCCTGGCAACTCATTTATTAAAAAATTCAGGTAGTGTTCCCCTGTTAGGCGATTCTCCATGATAAAAGGGCCAATTAAATACCCAGCAATCATAGCACACCACACATTTACTGAAAACCTGTGCTGAAAATTGGTTTCGACTATAGCATGGGGATTTTCGTCAGACCATACGTGAGAGTTGTGCGTATTATTAATGCCGTCACGGGTAAGTGTTGCTTCATCACTAAAAAGTATACGCGATATAACTCTACGATTGTTAGTTACCCACCGACTAAATTCCACACGTTTAGCATAATCTTCCGGGTGTAGAAACTGTACTCTTTGTAAATGGTATGGGTATAAGCCTTGCTCGTGAAGTGTGTGCGATTCTTCTGGTGCTGGTCGTTGCATCTTCTTCCACTAGATCCAAAATATTTTCCACTTCTTCTAAAGTTTGTCGATCAGCTTTTTCAGATGTTATTTTAGCACTTGGAAGAGTTCCAGTCTCGCAAAGTTTGTTAAAAACTCGAATAAACACGTTTTTGCCAGGAGCCCTTTCACATGGAAAACGTCGTCGATATTCTTCTACAGGAGCTGTGGCATTGTCATTACAAAAGCCATTAACAAAAACCATATTAGCATACTCTAAATTTGAATAAACTTTTGGCATTTTAAAAAAAATTAAACTGGAAAATTACAAAAATACCACTGACGCTGACAGTTATGCCTAAACAATATGTATATGTAACTATGAAAACAAAAACTTTGTTTCCATAGTTTTTTAAGGAACATTAGATAATAATTTATTTTTTAAAATTTCATTTTTTTTTATTTCGCTATAACTTAAAACAAATAAGAATCGGATAAGAACAGTTGAGTTTTTTATTATTATTTTGATGTATAGAATGCAGTCCTAGAGTTTAGTGCGATCCTTCCGATTCACCCTGTATTTATATATAGTATATATGACTATAGAAACAGTAAATATATTATTAATACATAATATAAATAAATTTATAATAAACTTCTACCATATTTTTTAGGTAAGTAAATATTTTTTGCTAAAAATCAATAAAAATTATCATTTGTCAAATTATTGAGAATTTTGGATCTGCATTCCATCAATATACATATATATTCTCAAGTTAATAATTTTGGGTTTTTAATACAAATAAATTGATTTTTTTAAGAAAGAAAAAAAAGCATAATTTCTAACAGTCTGAAATGTCAATAAGACCTTTTTTGTAGAGCATTAAATTTCCTATAAGGGGTACTTTTGCCTTATTTATGAAGTAACTCGTTATCACGTTACAAAATTCCAAAATTTAAAAAAAAACCCATGTCATATTTTCACAGGGTTGTTTTCTAGAGAAAATAGTTAAAAATTGGATAACATCTTTAATAATTTAATAGGATAGGTATTAACGGAAATGCTATCAACATTCAATGTCCAAACTTTGGTCTCCACAGTATAAAATAAATATTTAGTTTGCATTTACCTATGAAAATATTAAAATGATATTATGCATTAACGTGTTTTTAATGCATTTTGCGAATTAACCGTCACAAAAAATTTATTTATTATGATATGATTTAATAATAAAGTTCTTAACTGCTCACCATCTTAATTGCAAATTTTAATGTTAATTTTGCTATAGAGGATGCACAACCGTTAATAGATTTTTTAGATCGTGAATTTAACTTAAAAATCTGAAGTACTATAAGTTATTGTATTTTCTATCCTTGATCCAAAACAGTACATACATGGTTTAAAATATTTTGTGGTATGCCAATGTTACTGTATTTTGTTAAACTGATTAATTCAAAACAAAAAAAGTTATTAGTAAAAGTGGTGTGCAAGAGATTAAATTACAAATTTTAATACCAGCGGGAGGCAGTAAGATAGCTGATGCAACTAGTATGTAAAAGAAGTAGACTGAAATAGCTCTTCGTTTATAATAAGATTTAAAAACTTTCATAACACGCCGCCTTTGAAAAATTTCCTTAAACCTTGGTTATTACAAATATCTTTTGAAATTTCTTTAGTTGTAACCTGGTTTTCTATTCTTAAAGAAAAGTTTTAATTATAATTATTGAAACTATCGGTTTAATTGAATATTAAGTTATTAAGAAAATTTGAAATGTGCTTAAACACTTTTGTATATACATAACATAAAAATAATTTTTAAATGAAAATTCGCTTTGTTTGAAAGTTGTGGTTAAATTGGATTTTTATACAGAAGAGCTTAATTGTGTAAAATTTGAGTGTTTCATATGTAGGTTACATTTTGATGTTAACAAGAAACATTACTCTGCTTTGTTTTGTAAGTAATTTTGAACTTGGGGATTAATATTAAAGATGTTTTCAAAGTTTTCGTGAAGAAAATAGCTCGTCGGTTAAGAAAAAGCGGTTGCAACATTTGTAACAAAAACTTTATATATTCGATAATTAACCGAGGACCGAGGAAATTCAAATTTTGTTTTAGTTGCTCGCTTATATGCTTCCGTACTAAGTCGTGGAGTGGAGGACTGTAACCGCAATTTCTAATTGTCCTGTCGGAATTTTGACCTCTTGGGGATAAGTGAAACAGATCGGAATTAAATCAGTTATAA